ACTTGCTTTGATTTTGCTGCTCGATTGCTCTGCTCGACGCGACCTGAGTCCTGGCGTCCTGGATTTTCCCTTTGTCCTGTGGTAGGTCGCCAGACGCGTGCCGCAATCCCGTTTCCCGGCTTTTTTTTGTGATTTTTTATTATTGTGCTTTTACGGCGAGCGTTCATTTGCTTATTTGTTTGTCCTTTTTGTCCGCTGATGCGGCCGCATCAAGGTAAACTTTGGCGAGAGCGTGTCCTGATCCTTTTGGCTGCTGGTTATTGTTTTCATTGCGCCGACTGCCAGCAGCCAAATGGGATTTATTATTATTTTTATACTTTAAATATTGTTTCAATTCTCCGCACGGCATATCTTTTTTTGATTGAAAGAGAACAGTGTATAGTGTGGAGTGTGGAGTGTAGATTGTACAGTGTTTAACCTTTTAGCAGCTCCAGCTAATGTTACATCCATTTGAAGGACCTTCAAGTATTTGCTCAGCTGAGCGTGATTTTCATGACGTGTGTCCGTACTCCCTCCGGTATCTGTTTCAATTTTCGTTAATTTCCCTTGAATGCCAAGCAAACACAGTGGCTACAAAATATTATATTACCAAATTGAAGTAGTGTCCCTCTGATCGGCTGGAAATGCAGTTGGAAAACGGTAAAGTTTTCCCTCTGAATATGCGGGCTGTTTTCCCGTTTCTCACTCCCCACGGAGACAGTCCCGGTGAGGATATTACTTTATAGTATTTTTCAGGTAAACCGTTAGGCTGCTTAGGGAAAACAAAAGGTTGAACCACAAAATCAATGCCATACAAGGCACACGTGCCAAACATGTTTTCTATCTTTCTCTTTCGCACAAGGACCTTTTTCAGCTGTTTTTGGTGAATGAAAACTAAGGGAAAATGGGTTTGAGACCTGAGGCCTGAGGACATATTCAAATGCAGTTCGATACAAGAGTCAACAATTGACAGTTATGAAAACAGATAACGATGATCCGTGCTCTGACAAAGTTGAGGATGATGATGCTGTTAGGGTTGTCAAGGATAACAGTTGTTGTTCTTGTTGTTGAGGGCACAATTTAAGGACAAACCGCAAAGGGATTTGACAGCCAAAGGAAAATAAGCAAGAAGGCAAGGCAAGGCTACTAATTTGTCGTCAATCAGTCTCTTTGGATTTATAAAAATGCAAATGAATAACTTAATAAAATTATTAAATAAAAAAATAATTAAGATGGGGATATTTATTTGTAAGGATATATTGGGTATACAGTAGACAAGCCTCTTCTGTAGTTTATATATTTTCTCCATAACTATTATTAATTTCCCTACTTAGAGTAACTTGTAGGCTTCTTCCTCGACTTTAAATTAATTTTCCAGATAAACACACATTCTTACCATTGATTGGCTGCTAGGAACATCTACCAAAAACCGCACTTTAAAACACTTTTCGTTGTGGGGAGAAAAATCTTCCCACACTAAGCTGAGCTAGCAAGCACTTGACTGCATTTTCCCCCCCTTTGCCAGAAAAAGGGATTGGGGCTCAGACCGCTGTACATGCATTTTTGGGTGAGATGAGGAGGAATTTGACATTTCCCCGCACTTAACTGTCACATAAAGTGTTAAACGAAATGAGGCGATGGCGGCCGCAGAACAGGGAAACACTTGAGATTCTCGATTCCGAGAGGAGAGTCCGATGTTTTGTGGCGACCCCAATGGAAAAATATATAGAGAACCACCACTACAAATACTACTCGCTGTATTTATGCTGTCATTACTTTTGGTTCGGTTTCGAATCGAATTGGTTTCGGATTCGGGCTCGGGTTCGGGTTCGCTTCTCCTTTTGTTTTTAGGGGCCGCCGCGCAAAGTTTACTGCTAATTAAAAATTGTGGAAAAACGAGAAACATGCATGCAATTCAATACCATCTGGAGACCCTCTAGCCAGGATCTAAGATCTATGTACAACCTTCCCTCTTCACCCCCTGAAAAGGATTGCCTTTTTGTAATTTCCCACCATTAGCGGACGCGGTCCTTCGGCTTTCGGTGATTGTAAAGTGAAATTAATTGATTTCTCAGTCAAAAGTACTTAGCTAACTTTATTTATATATGTATTTTATGTGGGTACCAGCAGCGGTGGTGGTGGGTGATTAGGGAGGAAAGGAAAATCGAAGTGAGAAATAGAAATCGATTCAATTTAAATTGAAGAACCTCCAGTGGGTGTGTTGCCAGAGCCTGGGAAGAAGTCCTTACGGCAGCAAATGCGGGACTTGAGAATTAAAGGTACTTTCGTCTTTGTATTCGCATATTTCAATACTTGGGTTATGTGTCAATTATTCAAGTAATGAGGGCATTCCCGGGGGGAAACAGGAAGTGCCGAATACAAATATCAAAAACCGAACCATTTTCTTTTTGGATAATAAGATTATGATCCTTAGAGATGCAGGAAGTATAAATAGGCCCTCAGAATAATCTTGTTGCTGGTTTAATACATTCTAATAAATCCGTATTTATGTATTTGTTAATATACATTTTATATTATAACACACAAATAAATTATCCCCTTTTTCCTTTCATTTAATACATTTAATTTTAATTTTCCTTAAATTTCCAACCTTCTTATACAACCCCTTTCCCCCTCATGGTCGCCTAGGTGAACTCTCCACCAATCGGGTGAGCGCAACAGGTGCAAACGGGGCGGGCGACCAATCTGGTGCACCTTTACCGAAGAGACCGCACCTCGTTTTTCGTTTATCGTTTATTGCCGCTCATTAAACACCCACGCCTCACACAGACACACGTACTGACAGCGTGCTCACACACACACACGTCAGGCAACTAATTAACATACAAAATGAATGCGACGGCAAAACAAAAGCAACAAAAATAACAACAAAAAACGGCGGCCTCTCCCTCGCTTTGTATCCCTCTCTCGTTCGCTCACCACACTCGCTTGTTCTCCCCCACTCGCTTGCTCTCGCGTCGAACGTCCATCGAACGCGCCGCCACGTCAAGTGAGAAAATTATGAAGCTCCACCTATTTTACACTTACACACACACACACACACACATGACAGTCAGCGGTGAGTGTTTCAGCAAGTGTGTGTGTCTGAGGTACTGGAAGGGGGGAGACACATGTTAACCGCATTAAAAATTAGTGTACAAATTGTTTATTATGTTGTTTGGTTTGGTTGGTTTTTTGACTTTGCACATTTTCGAAGAAAATATAAGAGTATTTAGTGATCTAAATATTGTTAAACAAAAATTAGTAAAAATATTTAAGTTTAAATAATAAATTTCATATATAGTTGATTTTAAAATACGATTTTCTAGGCTAACCAAAATGTAGTCGATAAAACAAAACTAAAAGCCCTAATGAATAAAAGATCTCATTATTTCATAAAATAATACTTTCCATGTCCTCAAAACTTTATAAAAACATTTGTAGTCTTTCTTTGAGAACCAAAAAGATCAAAAAAAGAAACATCTGAAGGAGACCCCACAACTTGTTGATGGAGCGGAAGAAGCATACCACTCCCAATCTCTTCTCTTCGTTAGAAATTCTTTGGCTCTGTCTGTGCTGCACTCTTTTTAGAGACGTGTCCATTGATGGACATTCTCAAGAACTCGCCTTCCATTGCCAAACGATGTCATTAATGTGTGTGGCAATCTCGAAACGATTTTGGTATTTTTTTACTCGGAAATCCCCCGGCGCAATCGTTGTGCGGGACAGTGAATATGTATATTTCGCAATCGCAAGTGCAAATGAGTTTTGTCCGTTAACGCAGAGATATGCGAGCAGGAAAGGGTTAAGATAGGGATTCTCTTGAAAACGAAAAGTTCCCTTCATCTGGCACCGCGAAAATTCCCAGAAGAAACCCGTTACGAAAGCTTTCTCAAATAGCTTATTAATCATAATAGCCATAATATCGGGGTTTTCCCAGGAAGTTTAATTCATTTGCACAAAACTTGAATAGACATGCAATTTAGAAATGTTAACTAAAATAAAACTTCACTTTTTTACCGATATTAAAATGATTATTTAAAATGAAACACATACACCTTAGTGAAAGATAACCCAATTTTTACAACAACAAACTGTGATTTTTTAGTCAAAAAACTGCTACAAGGCTTTTATAATAAAAAGGGCAACAGTGCGTATGAGACATCAAAGCTCATCGCTCATACGTACTGTTGTCTTTTTGTATTCCCTTTTTTTTGCATTTTAATGAATTAAATTTTTTTATTATTATATTCCCAGTATAAGCTTCAAATTCCAAGAATTTTTTAATTTTATCAAAAAACAACTTTAGTTTTAATAAATATTTATGCATTTGATTTTCCTGGAATAATCTTGGTCAAAGCTCATCAAATTCTGAATAAAATCATTTCAGAAATCAATAAAAGAACTTATTTATATTTATTTTAATAATCTCTCTGATGAAGTTTCTATTCTTATGAAATTTCAATTGCCAAATAATAAAATTAATTAATTCTTTTGACACCCTTCAAAGGGGGCTTTCAAAATTTTTGATTGCTGAAAACAGGTCCCTAAGTCGCTTGGTCAATAAAAATGCATATAAATCCCCTGAAAATCCGTAATAAATGAATATCGTAGCCATATGTTTACGTAAAATGCCAATAGCACCCTTACGTTACGTTACGATATTTACCCCTCAAATTGTACTATATAGCAGCAGATTGCTAACAGAGCCAGTGCTCTCCCAATTGGAGAGGGACTGGCACTACCACCCCACTCGTATCACCTCGGCAGCACGCACACATAGATACTCGGTCCGAGCAACGGTAAAACCGTTACACCGCTATATTATGCTGGTGGTGGCAAAGGCACACACACCCTCACACACGCACACATTGGCTCTGGCGCTCTCTCGCGCTGCCAGACATTCACTCTCCCTCTGTCACACGAACACGAGGACGACGACAGCGACGGCGACAGCGGTGAAAGCAGCGGAAACCTCAGATGCTGGGAAAAGTCAGAACTTGGGAATCAGAATCAGTTGAAAATTGTACGTCGCGACGGCAGCACACGCGTCGCTCTCGAGCAGTAGTAACATTAAAATCACGCAGTCAAAAAAATATATCTCGCATCGGACAAAATCTCAAGTGTGCTTCGGTTGTTGGTTTCCCCTCAAAAAACCAATCAAGGAAAAATAATAATAAATTGTGTTTCAATGTTGTTGCAAAACGCCGCCAAATAAACCCAAAAAGGCCCTTGTACTCAAATGGCGCCCAAGACGTGTGCTTTTCTTTCCCACAAGAATATCTAAGATCTTAGAACCCCAAAAAGAACCCCGAAATTCAAAATAGAATAGAAAAGAAAACAATCTAAAGCCAAGGTCTAGTGTTAGAAATACACAAATACAAGCATTCCAAATGTTGTCCTGTTTGGCGCCGTCGTCTTCACGTTTCGGCCAAGAGGATACCATCATACAGCAGAGCATGCCATCCACCGCCTTCACCATGCAGTGTAAGTGATCTAATAATGATGCCACGGACGATTCCACCTATGATTCATCCACAAATCGAATCGAAAGTCGCTATCAGTAAACAAATTGAGCTCAGAATTCAAGTGCGATGCGAGTGTATCTCGCACTCAAAGTGTGTGTTTTGCGCGGGAATCTTTAGGATGCAAGCTTGCCAGTTTCCAAGAAACCATCTATCCCACTCCGCCATCTTTAAGAGCCCAATGTGTGGTCTTTACCTCACAGGAAAAAAAAACGAAACTCTAGTAAAAACAAAAAACGTAAAAAGAAACGACCAAGGATCGTTGTTGGAGGGTTTCAAATTACGGAAACTTTGCGCTCGATCAGCATGCGGGATACGAAAAAATATACTTAGTAGCCTCTCATTCTTCGCAGCAAAAATTCCCAACCAATTGCAGCCACATCTCAATTTGATTTGTTGGCAACCTTGCCTCCGCCTTGGCACACAATCTCCTCCCACTTAAAACGACAGGTAGCTGTAGCTACCCCTAAAAGCAGGGGCAACCGCATGCGCAGGTACCACTACCTCGAATCGAACCTCTTTCAAGAAACCTGTTCCCCCAAAGGCCATATTGTGTGTGTCTGTGTGTGTGTGTGCTAGTGAGTGTAAACAAGGCATAATCGTAAAACTGTCAGTGGGCAGAGCTCATCGATGCTCACACCTTGCATTCAGAAATTAATTGAAAGCGCTTAGGAAAAATTGAGGAAAGCTAAAGCAACTCTGGAGAATCTGTCTGGGAAATCTCCCAACTCACAACGCCCACGATTTGTTCACCCGGCGACTGACAATTGATAAGTCCCGCTAAAGAGACGGATTAATTGCACATGTTCCGAAAAAAAGAGGCTACACCGCAGAGCAGCGCCCATAAATTATAATTTATGGCTATTTAAGCAGCTCTGTTTCTGTGGGTGGAACTAAAAGCCCTCGAACAAGAACAGATAGTTTGGCTAATCGATCAGAAACACACAGGTTGGCCCACATATTCTATATCTTGTGAGATATATAGCTTTGTATTCTGTGCTCTTTTTTTTTCTTCGTTATTTTGTATTCCTGGCCAAACTTTTGATGGCGCTGGGCAGCTGCTGCTGCGATGGATATTAATCGCCGGCAACATACGAAATTCTGTTCACTGTTTCCTACGATTTGGGAAGAGAAGATTGTGAGAGATTTTTTGGAAGAGCTTGTACTAATTTTCGGCGTGTGTTGTGTCGCATTTCGTAACGGCTCCAAAATCTCGTAAATCAAATATAATTTCGCCAAGGCGAAAACCTGTCGCCTGTTATCACCTAGACACACTAGGTAACGCCCCCTTTGGCAGCTATAATTATCTATACTATATAGACGGCACTGGCTCGTGGCCCCTAAATCAGCGCTAATTTCCACCCATCAAAGTTGTTGTTTTCGGTATTGAATTTTTGGTATCTGACTTTTGCAGTCGATTCGATACGATTCGTTTCGTTTCGATTTTGATTTGATTTTATTTCGATAGAGAAACTCCCTTGGAAAGTTGGCTAATTAATCATTCTAGGACGCTGTCGTTGGCTGTCAGTTTTATATGCTGGTCCTTGTCTCAAGCGCCATTTATAACTCCAGCCCATCCTGCATCCTTCAGGAGTGACAGGACTCTCTCTTCTCTTCTCTTAGCTCCTTCTGGTAATCGAAATTAAACAAACTTGGCCCCCAAACTATCTGGCAAAAGATGATTAATTTCTGCCTAGAACAAGGCCTAAGCTCAAGTGGAGTTGGAGTTTATATTTTCCCAAAAATAAACACATTTTCCTTGCTAGATTTCAAGTTTAAATTGCCAGGAGCAGGAGGAGGTGGAAAAAAAGAGAGCAAAAAAGACAATAAATCAATGAGGGGAAAGTCCTCTTTGATATCCTGTGTCTCTCTCCCTGTGTGTGTGTTGTTCAACCTGCCGCAGCTTTGGGCAAATTATTTGCCACATTTTTACTTTTATTTTGGGCGCTGCTGCTCAAAAGTAAATTGTTTGCCAATATTTTTTGCTGCTTCCTTTTTTGTACTGTGCACACAATTGAAACAAAGATAACTTTGAAACAGTTGTAAAGTGAAAATTGCACGGAATGTTGCTGCTGGGACCTGCTGCCTTTTCTCTGCATTTTTTTCAGAATATTTTTTCTTATTTATTTAATGCCCAGCCGCACAATTCTGTGTTGCTGCTTGCTGCTACCCCCTCGAACCTGAACCAAAAAAAGTGCCAAAAAATCGGCGCAAACAAAAGGGTGCAGCAGCAGCACCACCACCATACCCCCTAACCCTTTTTCACCGAAAGAAAAAAGGTGTTGCCAAAGGGCCTGGCAAAATTGCAGCGCCAAAAATGGTGGAACCCCCAGTCCTCGGCAGGCACAATTTAACATGTAAACGATTTTGGTTAACGTTGAAAAAAGGCTGAGCAAAGGGAGTGCCACACTCCTACTCTGATTGGCGTTCAATTGCAATAAATTTCGCACAATTGCACAATAATTGTTAAAAAGTTTTTAAATAAACAAAAATAGTCAACGACTCTATTGTGGCTGCTGCTGCGGCACAGCAGCAAAAAGTTTCAATTGCATTCGATGCTGCGCTTTTGTTTCAAGAGTTTATTTTTCGAGGCCGTTTTTTACCGATTGGTTGGAAAAATTTATACTCGCTCTGAGAACGAAGTGAATATCAATTAGCCAAGTTAAGCTGAACTTTGGTTACATATATTTCGGTTTAATGAAGAGCCAAAGTTTTAAATGGTTGAAGAAACAGTTTTATATATCTTTCTTTTAGTATTGAAAAATATATCACCAGAACTTGTTTTATTATTTCTATATATATATATTAGTTAAAGAACCATATTTTTATGACAAAATCATAAATATAGTACTTATTTTTAACAATCTTTTTAAAGTTTTCATTCTGTTCTTGGAAAACTGTCGTTAAATAAAATACTTGAAACGAAAAAGTGTCATATTATTTATTGACATGATTCCAAAAATGCATATTGAGTAAGCTATATATTTTTATGGTTCCTAGGAATGTATATATTTACTTTAGTTTGGAGTTAGTTCAATATATATTTTCAAGTTAAGTTTGGAAATCTTTTAGAAGCTTGATATTATTCTTTTTTAAATCTAAAAAAAATGAAAGTTTCAAGAAGTATTTCCTGAAATACCTTTATAAATAGCAGAACACCTCTCTTCCTGCCATTTCCTTAATTGCTTGCCTTTTGAAAGAGTATCTTATGGATCTCTGGTATCTTTTGGAGTTCTAAGCAAGCATTTTCTCCACCTTTTCCCTTCTTTTTTTTTGAAAACACCTCTGTGCTGGGCATATTTCTCTAATTGCTTTGCTGTTTGCCAGGCACAACTCCAATTTCAAAAACCAAAAGAACGCCCACAACCCGCCGACACATCACACACACACATGCGGTTTTCTGCGTATATTTTTTCAAGGTAAATCGCAGAAATAGTTATGCGCCCCCAGGACACATATGTTTTTCCCTATCCTGCCCTGGCCTGCCTCAAAGATGCCTCATGGATGGGGGGGAAAAAAGGGAAAGGGACACGAACACGGACACGGCTCGCTTGGCTATTAAAATTTCACACTCAGCAAAGCAAAATGCTACAAATAAAATAAACGTGGCTGCTGCAACGTGCAACGTGCAACGCTGCAGCATGCAGCATGCAGCCAGGCAGCCACGCAGCATCAGCTTGCTGAACAAACAAATAAACGCAAAGGGCAGCAAAACGGCAGAAATGCATCTCCCCGCTCGAAAAGAAGTCGCTATTTATAGCAACTCCGTCGTCTGGCTTCGAATCTGCACCTTTGCATCTCGCCACTTGAGGGGCAAGCACGGCCACCTTTGTGCCCATTTGGGGAAAAAAAGTGGAGAGTAGACCAGGGCAAAGGTGTGACACAGTGAGAAAATAAGGAGAATTTTAAGGGAAATTTGAGGGAAAATTGAAATATATAATTGTTATAATATTGTAAGGGAAAATCAGCAAAGAAATCAGTTTTAAATTTGTATCTGGATGATATTTCTATATTTTAGAGATATTTAAATATAATATATAAGGAAACCTTGTTATCCCTGTTAATTTCTCTCTGTGCAACAATCTTCAGGTAGAAGGTAGAAGGTCCCCGAAAGAGTATTCCAAATTTAGAGCGATTATCGAGGACAACTCCATATGCCACTCACATGTGTGTATCTTGGTACTTGAGATCGGACACGGTTTGAAACTCTAGAGTCTAGACCCTCCGCGGAAAGAATTCTCCTTACCGGGCGTAGGTATTCTTTTTTTTCTCTACTATAAACTTTCGCACGTCCGAAACCCGAACTTAATGATATACAAAATGCCATTGAGGCCAGTCTGCCTGCCTTCCCACAGGTTTTCATTTACCAAATTAATTGCCCCAGTGCCTGATAGTGTCGTTTTTCATAGCCGCAATTAGCTAGCTCTTGGTACTAAGTGTACTCGCTCATTTGCAGATCCCCGGTTCGAATGTGAATATTTATTTCATAAATATGCTAACCACGTTCATTGACTGCAAATGAGTGCAGCAGCAGCAGCAGCAGCAGCCCCCCTGCCAGTTTGTCTGTTTATAATTAAGTGCTAAAAATTTATGTTTATTTGCATTAAATATCAGAGAGGCAGTGGCAGTGCCTCCCCCCCTAGGCGCCACCTGTCGTCGATTTGTCTGCAAACTGCGTCAGCAAATAGCTAAGCCAAGAAATTCCCTCACTCACCTGCGCGTCAAAGAAATTGTCATCGACTTGGGTTTCCCAACCCAGAAAAAAACGAAAAAAAAAAAAAGAAAATAGAAAATATAGACGCCCCCGCGCATAAGTTGTGACAATCGGCTGTCAGTGAAATATTAAAAAACACTTTGGGACAACGAGTGACAGTGAAAAAAGTCAGGTGGAAAAAATAAAACAAAAAAACTAAAGGAGAAGAAGGCGCTACTAAACATAAATTAAATGTTAAAAATAATTTTCAAAACACACACCAAAAAAACCAAAAACCAAAACCAAGGCAGCAAAGAGAAATAAATAAATTTGCATTAGCCGGGCTTAGGCGAAATATGTCTGGCTAATAAAAGTTGGCAATAAAAAAAGCACATAAAATTAGTGGGTGCCACACAAAGATACAATATTCCTTGGGCTTGCCCCTACAGCTAACAGATACAGATACAAATGTATCTTTCTTTTGGTTATTTTGCCATTGATTTACGCCCGCCTGCCCCATCTACGTATTATTTATAATATTCTCGACCCTCCGCCAGCCTCAGCATCCACATCCGTTCCCCTCTCTTAGTTTTCCCCTAGATTTTTCGTGTGCGCGTGTTTTCCACACCGCACAGGTGAACCAACAATAACAAGAAATACAAAGAAGAAAATCTGCCAAAACACTTGACATGGTTCCAGAAGATTTCCCTTTGAAAGCCTGCCTGGGATTTTGATTGGCGATTTACTGGCCAGATTTTGTTTTTGGCAAACGTGCGGCCGCCCATAAATATGGCCCCTCTTCTTAGTAAAAAGAATACAAAATTTTAAAGCAAAGAAAATATACTGCCCCAATCAACATTTTGGCAACTGTCAAAGCAGGCTAAATGTTGTTTTTATTTGGTTTATATACAACAATTTAATTATTATTTATGGGGCTAATCCTTCTCTTAAAACTGAATGTAATTTAGTTGAGGTTTTCAAACTTTATTGTTGAAAGTTTATAGGTTTGATGTTTGTTTAAACATATATTTTGAAATCTAGTGATTAGTTACACAATTACCTGCATTTTATCAGCTCTTAAAAATTAAATATTTTACCCTCTAAACTTATTACATATTTTCTAGTAGGGATTAAACTTTTATTATTTTAATTTATAGCTCTTAAAATGTCATAAATCATATATTCTTTATTTCTTACACCCAAACTTTTTACTTCCTTCAAATTTTCAACTTCTAAAATTTCCCTTTCTTTCCCCAAAATTTTTAAAATTAAAAAATATACCTTACTTCTCTTTTAACAATTTTTCTGGCTCTTTCTCTTCCGATTTCTGCCTCTCCCCGGCGCTCCACCTAACACACACTATCAATCAACTTCAATTGGTTCGCGTTAAGCGCAAAATAGTTGAAAGGCATTGCCACTGAAAGCGGAGACCAACAGTGACAAAAAATATACAACAAATAACGCTCAAGTTCCGTAGAAACAAATACAAGAAAATTCCTTTTCATTTCACAGTTTTTGGTCTGCGCGCATAAATTGAAATTAATTTGCGGGACACTTTCAATATTTCAATACCAGCCCTGGGCCAGGGGAGAAATATAAAAAATATATATGTATAAAAAAGTGTAAAAATGGGAATTCTCTGGCCGATATTGCGTTAATAATAATTCCTCACGCTTCGACTCTCGGCTTGGTTATGAAAAATTGATTGAGCTAAATGAGCTGGTGACACACTTGTTGAATTTCACGTTGTTTTTTCCCCTCAGGCGCATTTTCCTTTCAAGCATATTATGCTGCTGATGAAACATATTGTGTCTCAGTGAGTGTGTTTGTGTAGGGCTATAAAAAAGTGTTGTCGTTTTACAACTTTTAATAAAAATGTCATTAGGCAGGGCGAGTGAAATAAATTCTTGGATGAAACAACAAAATTATGAACTCGATCGGCAGAGGAGATCTGCGCGTGTCAGCTGTTGTCCTATAATGGCTCTTAATGGCTTCTTAAGTGGCAGAGGAGAGGTGTCCCTAAATATATTTCCTATATATTCTTTATAATTCCCTTTTTGTTTCGGCATCGGTACCCGCATCAAAATCAATTAAGACTGAGAGAGAGATTGCAACTATCGAAAGTGAAAACGTGCAATGAACTTTTGTAGATTGCGCTTGATTGAAACAGCTACAGCCCTCAGATACAGATACAGTTACTTGTGGCCGAAAGGTAGCTGGGTTCATTCATTTCACAGCCCGTATGCCAGCGTCTGTTTTGATCATGATGATGATGTCTGCCTCGGTTAATTGGCTTAAATTAAGGTAGCGATCAGAACAAAGACTCGCTTTGTGTGAACCCTGAAGAAACTGGAAAGAAAGAAGACCAAACTGCAAACAGAAACTCCATTTTGTGGAGTATCTGAGGTAGACTTGCCAGATACACAGATACACAGATACAGATACAAGAAAGAGAGGGCAATTGAGTGACCCTCGGAGCTGAACAAAGCAATCTTCTGCTGCTGCCTGACTCTCTCTCTCTCTCTTTCTGCTCTGCCATGGTTGAACGCTTTTTTTCAACTGATTAAGTCAACTCTTCTTGTTTCTTGTTTCTTCGTTTTTGCTTTCTGCTTCTCAAGTGTGTGTGAGTGTGCGTTCTTTTTTAATTCCTCCTCCACTTCTTTTTTTTTTTGCTTCTCCGCTTTGGTTTCTTTGGTGGTTTGGGGGAACCATGAGATCATCGCCTCCATGGATTCCAGCCTTGCGTGAAGGCCCGCGAAGTTGATTTGCCACGAAATTAAGTCGATCCAAGCAGCCCTTGAAAGCACTTGAAGAAAAATAAATGAGATCACTTCGATTTTAAAGAGAAAAAATATAATTTAAAGCAATAGTACACAATTTATAAGGTTATTAATTTAAAATCTATTAGAAAACAAACCATAATTTTCTAAAGCTTCGGATTAAAATCTTTAAAGTGAAAAAAACCCCTTTATAAAACCTGAAAAATCATTTATAGGTCCAAAATTTCTTTCTCTGTAGTCTGTAGTACCTTAAAACCCGTTCCCTTTTCTCCCCCAATCTCACACTTGGCATTTCTCATTTGGTTTTCAAGTTGCTTTGCTCATATTTTTATGGTTCTTAAACGATCTGGCAGTTAATTTGTTTTCCTTTCCACTCCCTCCTCTCTTCACAGTTCCCTCGCTGGCCTCCAGTCTGCTGCACCACAACCAGTCGCCGAAGCACAGCAATCCAGGCAATGCGGTCCAGGATGCCCAGATAGCACAGCCAGGTCCGCCAGCAGATGCCTTTATGGTCAATTGCACCCAGTGCCACAAGCGATTCATAGGGTTCCAGGTGAGAAAAGCAAATAAAATTAAAAATTATACAATTATATTAGATTAAAATACCTTTAGAAATCATTTAAATTCCTATAGATTTTAAATAACATTTTTTTTTAATTTTAATTTCACAAAAACAGAGCCTCAGCGAGCACATTGCCAGCGAGCATCCCCATGACAAGCTGAACTGCGGTGCTGCCCAGCCTGAGAGTGATGCTGAGGATGAGCAGAGCAATCTCAGTGGCAGCAGCAGTCGGCGGTACATCAAGTCACCAGCTCAGGCCAACACCTCAAACAATAACAACATCAGTGCCAATCCCACCAGCAACACCAACTCCAGTAACAATAATAATAATAACAATAGCGAGCTGACCAAGAACCACAACAACAACAACAGCACAACGCCAAAAATGTCACCCATGTGCTCACCTGGCTCCATGCCACCAAGTGACTTGTTTGCTCACCTGCCACACGGAACGCCTCAGTTGCAATTGCAAGCCCAGTTTATGGCCGCTGCCTTGGCCATGCAATCCGCCCGTACGGCGAGCTCCAGTTCGCCACAGCAACAGCAGCAGCAGCAACTGCAGCATCACCAGCAGCAACAGCAACAGCAGCAGATGGCCTTGCAGCAACTGCTGCCACCTCAGCTTCCAGGAAGCAATAGCAGTGTGGGCAGCAATTCAGCCTACGATCTGGATTTGAGTGCTCCCCGATCCACCTCCAGTCCAGGGTCCACCACTGGAGATCGAGAGCTGGGTGGAGCTTATCCCTGCATGCAGTGCACGGCTGCCTTTGGCTCACGAGAGCAGCTTGAGCAGCATCAACTGCTGCACTCGCCCTGTGGCCAGCCAGCAGCGCAGAATGTCTCTCAGGTGAGTCATTAAACTCTAGAAGTAAAATTCAAATTAAAGATTAAAGAAATATTTAAGAAACTAAGTATTTGTAATACCTTTGCTCATTTAAAAGATAGTCAAAGTCTAAAGAAAAGTCCCTCCAAAGGCTGGTGACTCAACCTGCAAAATGATGCTGTCAGAGGATAAAAATTCCTGGAAGCTGATAAGCTGCAGAGTTTTTTATACCAGAGAGTCTTACGTGTTAAAGTTCGTGGATCGTTACTCATGCATAATCGCATAAAATACATACACACACAAAAAAAAAGGGGGGAGAAAAAAGTAAGGGATTTATATTCAGTTTGATCTTTGAACACACATCACGTTGAGTTGAGGCACAATGCGTGGGCTTTGTTCGCGGTTAACGGGAAGCGAGCAGCCTGGGCGATAACAAGTACACCCAGCATCCAAGCCAAGCCAAGCCAATCCCAATCCAAGCCCCATCCACCATACCCAGCGATCCAAGTACGGGTCTCTCGATTTCAGCAGAACCTTATGCATATTTCCTGTTGACACAACCGTCACCACACACGAGAGTTGAAGAAACCTTTAAGAAAACGAGCACAGGGGCTGTGCCATATTATCGTCTGCATTCGAGGGAATTAAAGATCGACGAGAGGTTTTTCCTGTATTTTTTTTTTATTTTTTTTTATCGTTCGTCAGGCAGGCAGTCAGGAACAACAAGAACAACAACAATAAACTATGATAAGGACGGCATAAAAATAAAACGTAGGCGTTTACCGAACACTAAGGAGAAATAGTAAAAACGTAAATTCCCCAATGACGGCGGAGAAAAACAATTGGGGGTGTTATCAGAAAACGGGGCATAAAAAAAAAGTGTATGTAACTATATACATATACATCATGTATATATTTTTTATAGAAAAATATGAAGGCAGACTGTCATAACTCCCAATTGTGCAGTTGTTGTTTTTTCTAAGGCCTTGCCGTTGTGATAAGGCATTAAAATAAATGTTGCCACAGGCAGGCAACTCGACCTGATAACACCTACACACACACACACAGCACCCCACCCCCACCCCCACACACACTTACACTTGTTTTTTCATACTGCTTGTCCTTCGTCGCCATCTTTCTGGGGGTTTTCCTCAAGCGAGACAGGCGGCTGTAAAAGAAAACTCAGGCCTGCCCCAGACGTCACACAACGATAAGGCAAAAGTCGAAGGGAGAAATGGGGAGAAAGATGTGGAAAAAAGAGTGGTTCTGGTTCTGGTTCACCTTGGACGTACCCAGCGGCTATTAAAGCCACATAAATTATAATTTTGTTGCATTCTCCCACTCCATACACACACACCACACATCTCATACCCATTTTTCTCCTATAACTTTTTCCCCCCCAATCTTTCGTTGGTCATAAATTCATATGGCTAGTTTGTTGTTGTTTTTTGGGAGGCTGTTTTTTCGGGGGGAAAAAGGGAAGGGAAGTTTGGAGAGCGCATCTTTTTTACCTTCCTCATATATGAGACAGAGCCAGGGAAATGAAAAAGTTTGACACCATCCCCAATGAAGCAAGAAAACAAAACATGAGATGAGATTTCAGTGATACAGTGGGGATACAGATATCTATAAGAAAATATATAGTTTATAGACAATTTCATAACTTTGTTACTTATTTTTTAATAATTTATTTGTTCCCTTACGACTTTCTATTGAAAAAGCCTTTTAATTCGTTTTAAAAATATTAATTTATGTACAACTTTCTATAGTTTTCTTCAAGAATATATTAAACGGACATATAATATATTTTCTAAAAGTTATAATATTATCTAACATTATTTCTTATAATTTTGGTGTAATTCCAACTCTATATAACAGAAATTTTCCCTACAAATAATGTTTAGATAATATTTAGATTATTTTTCTCCTGGTTCCCAATTTTCATTCACTTCTTTCTGAGTTTTTCCCACTGTACTCTTCCTGCTCCTTTACTTGTTTTGACTTTTTTTTCTGGACTCTTGTTGCTGCCTCGTGTCCGTTATTAATATTTACCTAAGCTGCGATGATAGCCAGTCTCGCAAAAAAGCTAATAAAGTTGGCCAACTCGAGCGAGAAAGCGCAGCAGGTTTATGAGTTGCAAAACTCCACATAAGCCCCCAAAATACCTCACATACCTCTCTCACTGTACTCAGGGGAAATCGCCACTTTCGGTTGCATATAATTTACGGCTTTGTTAATGACATTTAAACATTTAAACACATGCGAATGGTCCCAAAAATGGCAACAACAGCCACAATTGACACATGGCAGAATGCAAAATGCAAACTGCATTCTCTTCCATTCTCTCCACCCCCCGAAAAAATGACTCCGAACAAACCAATTATAATTGATGTGGCACATTGCATTTATTTAATATTGTTGGCCATTGGCTTTTACACGTGTTCGTCCGTATTAAATTATTATGTGTGAAAACAATTAATTATGCGGCAAACAAAAACGCTGCCAGAAATAACAATAATGCCGGGCGAATACGATGCTCATTATGGAAATCAGGCTGCCGACTCACAAAAGTAGGCAACAAAATGGAAATCCTTTTTTTTGCTGCCACTTTTATTGAAAAGGCATTAAAATGGCCAACAAACGAGGCCGCAGGCGTTGACAGGGCAAAGACAGCGGGTTGGGGAAGCGGGGAATATCAATCCGTATTGGTGGCCAACATTGTTGATGCAACATTTAACATTTGTTGTTAAGGTCAACATCATTAACCAAAGGGGAACGAGTCCAAATGGCAGGCCATAAATTATGGGCCAAAAAAAAAACAGAGGTCCTGGCACAACTTTCAGCAGAAAAAGTGCAGCAATTAAATATTTGCTTAACTGCACAAAAACACACACTCGCACACACACATGGCTGCAACTTTTTGGCCACAACTCATTTGGCGGGTTTGGCTTTCGGCTTCCGGTTGCCACCTTTTGCCCTGCCACAAAAATGGTGGCAGGGGCAGGCAAGAGGAGCAGACAATTCAAATTGAAAAATTATATGCACTTTAGGTGTAGAGTCCAGAGCGAGTCCTGCCCCGAGTCCTGCCTGGGTCGTCTTTTCGGCGCCGCCGCCGTCGCTTGACGAACGGAGCGAGTGAAAAATTAATAGCAATTTATTTAACGCCCCTTTTGGTCTCAACCCTTTACTCTGGCCTCTTTTTTCCGTATTGTTTTTTTGTATGTACGAGTATTATTGCGGACACTGTAAGGTCAAGGGTTGAAGGGGCTGGACTGTTAAAAGTTTAAAAATTATTTGCAATTAAAGCGAACAAATTAAAAAACTTTCTCAATGCAAAAGTCACAAATTATTGTCAGTGGAGTTTTAAATAAAATATGTACAAATGATTACAATTAGTTGGAATAATAAATAATGCCTATAGAGGGGAGTTTTCTATTCAAAGTAATAATTTATGAAAGTGAATGAATAAAGGATTTAAATTATACATAATTATACTTTAAAATCCAGCTATAATTAGTTTTTAAAATAATTATTCCAATCAGCATTGAACGCTCTCCATTTCCACTTCAAAACCTCAAACAAAAAAGAAAACTGAACTGTCTGTAGATAATTTTTTATGTTTTCCATTCCCCTAAACACACCATCATCATCATCATCATCATCATTGAGAGTTCCTGTTTCCTTAAGGATATCCCCTCTTGATTTTTCCTGGATTTTCCCCCCTGCAGTTTACACCTGCACTTTTCCACATGTCAGACTACAATTTAAACTTCTTGTTTCTCAGTTCATTCTCTGTTCTCTTTTTTTTCATTTTTAAGTTACTCCTGAGATTTATATCAACTTTCACCGTGAGGGCCATAAATTATGTGGCTCCGTTTGCTCACATGGAAATTCCTCCGACAATTTCCCGGCCCTTGCCGAGCCAAGTCCCGTGGGTTTTTTCACTTGTGACGTTTATTGTGCGGTTGTTACTTGATATGTTTAATGAGAAATGTTGAGCAGGGGAATTGCTATATTCCAGGGGGGATGAGAAGAAAGTAATAGTACTTAGTACTCGGTACTATATAGCGTTTGAAATATGTATCTTTGGACACTCGTTTTGAGAGGAGATTGCACTTGAAGTTGACTCCACTGGAGATTTACGGATGAAGTTTAGAATTGCAGTTGTAAATGTTTTTTTATGGAAATTGTTAAGAGTGTTTGTAAGACAAGAAGAGTGTAATTGAAACTAAAACTTGTTGAGAGACAAAGATGATTTTGTTAAAAATGAATATTATTAACAAGAAACAATTCTGAAGGGCTTTACTTTATAGGTTTTCAAAAGAAAAAAAGGTTAAATATTTAAAAGCTGATTAAAATTAAATGAATAACAATTAAAATGATTTTTCAGACGTCAAATATTTATGACAATTCCAGCTAAATATGATAAGAATTGTAATTACCACCCACTCAAGAAAAAAATATTTCCTTTACTTTAATGAAATGATAATCACAAAAAAATACCCAAATACCAATGACTAAGCCCTGATAATAATAAAATATTATTGTAAAATGTAGAAAATTAAGCGCAGCAGCTGCTACTTCCAAAATAATGAGAGAGAATCATAATTTTTAACCCGACACGTTTCGTTAATTTCCTCAAGACTCGACTCGGCTTTTATCAAAAGTGATAAATTTAATTTATACCGCGGCGTCGCCTAATTTATGTTTGCCTAATACGCAACTAATTTTCGCGCAGGTCTCCTCCGTCCGTGGAAAAATCAGGGCAGCGCCGGCAGAGCATCATCATTGAGAGAAAAACGTTTTATTTATAAACAATTAAATTTGATTTGTCGCTGCGTTGGCAGCGCTGGCGAATGAAAAGGAAACGAAACAGTTTTCTTTTTTTTTTTTCAGTCTAGATGATTTATGGAAAATTAATAATTTTAAATCCCAGAGATACTCTCGAGTATTTCGTGTTTTCTGCACAAAAGCGAAACAAACCGAAAACGCATAAAATATTGAGAAATGCGGCAGTGGATAAA